CGTTCAACTGATCGCTAGCACATTACAAAGTGGAACACCCCCGCATTGCCCGCCGAATGAATGAAGGAAGCAGGAGATTAAGTGCACAGCAATCAACACATGATAACGCTTCAGGCCAAAGCAACCGCTGAACGGCGGCTGTCGGCCACTTTGACCGCGCAAAAGATACACTACACTGAACTGACATTTGTGATAAAACTACCACCACTAACAATGTACGCTACAGCACACCCGAATCAGCTATCAATGAATTCTGTGTTTTTTATAGGTTTGAAATCATGTGTACTTACAGTGGGTTAAACGATGCGACAATAAGCTGCGAATGCAGTCAGTTTCATGCTCGCATATGTCACAGTGAAACGGCGGACCCTAAAAATGCGTGTATCAGCAACCACAGAAACACAGCTAAAAAGCAGTTGTGCGATAAGTGCATTCTGCTTTGCTCACTCCCAGAAATCTGCGTGTGCTAACGAAGAGAGCCAATTTATGATGAAAAACAAAACAGGGGCGGCTGATCCACGCAAAATCTTTTCCCTGGCCAAAAATGCGAAGCAGTAATGCATTCGCAATGTAATTATAAAAATTTACGGCAAAATGCGTCCTCATATGGGCGTAATAATCGCGATTCCAGTTGCTTTCGTAAACACACAGCGAGCAAACATAGGAAATATCGCACGTGTGCGCTCGCACAATATGTTTCCTAACACGCGTGGATGTGCTACTACTGTATGAGCAGTAGTCGCATTTAAACGGCTTCTCAAGCGGTGCGCTGCTCGTCTCACCATGCGCTTCATTATCAGACTCATCGGGCTGCGAATGCGGATTCACTTCATCCTCTTCGTCAAAAATAACCTGAAACACAGCAAAGTTTTCAACCTCTGCAGCACCGTTACTCGAGCATAAAATGGATCAAAACATCCAGGCACATGTTTTTATGCACATGGATACAAACACAGCCTTAACACAGTTTCAAAGATGCTTGCAATTCAGTTCATCAACAGCGAGGTGCTGCAAGAGACTCGCACAGAATGACCTGAGAAAAAATAAATGGCAACGCGCAGCAGATTAGCCGGTGCGATCATG